GTGGGTGCTGAGTCAGTAGAATTGTCTATGTGTTATTACTTCAAATCATGGTAGATGTGACTCAGCAGGGCCTCCTTTCTTCAACAGTATAAGGCCAAGGATGCAGTTTGTCAAAGATAGACAGATAGATAGACGGACGGACGGACACACAGACATGAAATTGTATTGTTAGAAAGCTGGAGGGCAAGAGCCATGTCCAATTGTTTATAAAATCAGGACAGACAGTGGTGTGCCAATTAGAGAGACGTCACCGTCCATAACCTACAAAACATGTTAGTGTTCCTCATGCTGACTGCATGGCACAAAACCAGTGGCCCCCAGTCATTCTGAGTCGTTCGCTGAATATCCTTTTCCACAGTGGAAATTTGTTGTTTACATTTACAAGCAGATCATCGTCATACATACAAAGAAACTGACTTTAAATACATGAATAATACTCATAGTAAGTATTTGGTACTGTAGTAATTTTACCAGGCTGACACAGTTTGTTGCAACTATGGCACAGAACACAGTAAAAAGGATTATATTTAAAATTCTTGTGAGGACTATGCGGTTGTGTGCTGCAACTAAAGAAAGAAAACTGCTCATCTCTCTTGAGCGAAAAAAGTACTTCAACCTCATCTGCAGATCCTTCTGGATTCAAACAAACCTGTCCTCTAACTAAGCACATCACAATTAACCTCAAGTACAACCAGGTCAGAACAAACTTGTTTCTTTCATTTTCAGTCATTTCTACAACTCTGATGATGCCACTGCCCCTAGTTCTTCCTGCAAACCCCACTCTGTGATTGGTTCAGCCAAGAGCTAGATTAATGTGTTTATAGCTTTAGGCGAGCAAATGTAATTGCAAAACGAAATGTACAAAAGCAAAATGTACAAATCACCACTGCAGCCCATTATTAAGTCCCTTCTAAGGATGTGTGTGTTCGAGAAGATAGGGTGAAACATGAGATTTTGTTTATCAATGCTTGGCTGAAAACTGAGTTGTGTTTGTCATGCACAGAAGTACTTGAAAGTGCTCCACAACTATAGCCTAAGAGAAAAACGTTGGTAGCCTGTGATCACTTTCAAGGCAGTTTGATTTAATTTTCAATTCAGAGTTATCTAAATGAACTTTGTGTGAGACAGCAAATACTTTCACATTATCCTATATTAAGGTGGCCCTGAGAGCTCAACATCAGGAAAACACAGGCGTTCAAGCAAAGATGCACCAGCTTGTTTTAGCCATGGTTTGGTGCCTTTGCAATTATTGACATCTGCTATCAATCATTGTGATTGCGTGATAAAAAATTAAATAATAAGCAAACAGCTATTGGTATGTTAACAGAAGACATTTGCAATATACCTAAATCATCCCAATGTTAAATAATTAAAACTATTGGGTCATATTCTAATAGCACTTGATAGGTAAACATAATCCACAGACAGCAACACAAGCAGTTTGTGTTTCAGCTGTGTGCATCACTCTTGAGTGTCCCCTGAAACACATGTGTTATCTTGTGTTGTGTCTATTGGCATATGTTTATGCTGTGAATTGATTTGTCAACATTACAGTTGTTTCCAGTTTCGAATTAATGGACTCATAGAGCAGTTATAGCAATTATTTAACACAACATTGCGCAACAAAATTGAGTTATAGCTTATTCCATTAAGCATTCTGTGTCGTAACACAGTGTCAAGCTTGTCACATATGTATACAATGCATACAGAGTTAAGGCTGTTATGACAGTGTTGCGACATGCTTTACGGCATGCGAGGGATTGCTTTACTTGAGAGTAAGCCCGCGAGTTGTGTTGTTTCTGTCTACTGTAATGTCTTGACTTACTGTACAATAAACCTGAGTCGTGAAAGATACTCGACCCTCGATCATTCTACATGGTGTCAGAAGTGACCGGTGAGTCACAGGAATGAAACAAGACAAAGTAAAGGAATATAGACGGCGGAATGGCCAAGTTTAATCCCCCAGCGAACTTTTCGTTTGATAAGCCGACTGAATGGCCAGAATGGAGGCAACTATGGAGTCAGATTTGGGTCAATATTCTAGCGCGTAAAACAAGCTACTCACGAGCGGAAAATGTGTTTAAATTTACACGCGCATAAAATGACCCTCGCGCACAGATTAAACCCCCGCGAGCGGCTATGCGCTCGCGAGAGAGACAGCCCTCTTGCTCGCTCGCGGGAGTGTCAGCCTCGCGGATATCGAAAGCCTAAAGTGCCACTATTCGCCCGTTTAAAACACGCGGTTTTTGTCGCGTACAAAACGCGCGTTTTTTAATATGATAATGAGCCCCTCCTTCTGATTTCCATAGCCACTAAGTTTAAAGTGTCTTTAACCAATCAGTGAAGAGTAAAGCCAGACCAAAGCAATCTGTAGATGAAAAGTTCCTGAAATTTTTAGGCTTTGTATATTATTATATTATTATTCCAGATTCAGGGGACCAAGTATTAATTTTCCTTTGAATATAATCAATAAATCAAACAATATAAAATATATATATAAAAAATACAATTGCCTTACCCTTTTCCTTAACCCTCTGGAGTATAAGGATATTTTCTCTCTCCTTAAATCACATTTTAAATGTACTTCTTATAACATGGCACCCCATATGTTACTTATGAAAATATTCAGGACACTCTCTTGTCTTGCTAGAGATACAAGTCACTCACCTTAGAGCACTGTCTTATGAGATACTTAGCTGAAAATGAGAAATCCGATTTTTGGAAAACCTCAAAACTCTTGTGAAAACACATTTACTCATCTCATCTATTTTTTGGGGCGTTTTAGATTTGGTTTACAAAAGTAGTGAAATAATATGAATTACACTATAGGCCTATATAGATTAAATGAAATGTTATTCATGTGTAAAATAGTTCCATCCCTCTGCTTTCACCACAGAAAAGTTACATCAGGACTGATTCATGACTTCATATTCCATACCAAGGTTCATGTGATGTGTACAAATACAAATTGAGCATTAGAACTTTTTTTTTCAACCAACAATTTATGTTAACATAAGAAACTGTAAAATCTCAATATTTACAATATCAGAACTTTTTCAACCAACTATTCATTATAAATGTAAAGACAGGGGGAGCAGTGTCATGGTCTTTGTCTGTCTTCCAGGACAGGGGGTCTGGCTGCTGTGTAGGTGATCGTGCATGGGCTGCTGGTGGCTGTGTCGGAGGGAGGTAGGTGTGATTGTCCCAGGTTGATGCTGGTGGCCGTGTGGGAGGTACGTCTGCTAGGCGAGACTTTGCTGGCTGGGTTGATCGTGATGGCTGTGGTGGAGGCCTTTGTCCCGAGGTGTATCTTAATCTTGTGGCAGATGGAGATGGAGGCCACTGTAGTGATGATGGTCCTCTGGTCCTTGGCGGTGAAGGCCCTTGAGCCACAGTAGATCTTGACCTGGGGGCAGGGACAGATGGAGGTTCTTGCTGCTAGGCCCAGGCAGCTGTGAAATCTGAAAAAAAAAATATAGGACAATAATTACTACTAAGTTTGTTAAAATAAAGTTCAAGTGGAATGTTTCTCAAGCACAAATAACAATGCACAACTCAAAATAAAATTCTCTCTCTCTCTGGAGGAGGAGGAGGAGGAGCGTGTGAGAGATAGAAAGAGAGACGTTGTTAGTATTTGGTGCTAGCTCGGAGCTAACGGAGATTAGAAGCCGTTTCAACAATAAGGAGAGGGAGAGCTCTCTCCTGTGGGACTGAGAGAGATAACGTCAGCTCAGGGAGGTTTGGTCATCATTTCCATCTATGTAATATTAGTTGTATATAAAATGAGTTAATAAATCATTTCACTGTGTGCAATAGGTCAGTACAAAATAAAAAACACAATTTGAAAGGGGAGTGATTAGTAAAATATGCATAAATAAAAAGAAAGAATGCAGACTAGGTAAGATAAAGATAGGAGAGAGGAGTTGATCAAATATGTGTTATTGCTTGTGAGCAAGCAGGATTTTTGATGATTGAAATATATACTAGTACCCAGTGTTGCCAACTTGGCGATTTTCTCGTTAAATTTGGCGGATTTCCAAACCCTCCGGCGACTTATTTGTGTCAAAAGCGACTAACGACTAATCTAGCGATTTATAATGGTGTTATTAGCGACTTTTCTGGTGTTTGGAGACTCACATTGTTCTGCAGTTAACGAGCCGCGGGTGCTGCCGTGAGCCCCGCCTCCCTCCCATAGTACTCACAGGCGCTCAGACTGACAGTTGCCTGGCCGCAGCAGAGCTGCTGCAGTCAGAGCAGAGGAGACAACCACACTCCCCCGCGTCGAGACTGCAAATGAATTGCGCATGCGCCAACTGCCAAGCCGTCCTGGTTTTGAGCGGGATTTAAATGTTGAATGTAAATGTTTCTTCACTCACTTTCACACTTTAATAAATAACTGCCTTTGCTTTGCCTCACACAGCCTCAGTCACTCAATCACCTCGTCCACTGTGTGTGTGCCTCTCTGTGACAAGCTAAACATCATGGCACAGTCTAAATTGTATTCTCAAAAATACAGAAAGGAGTGGAAATCAAACCCTGAGTATAAAGGATGGTTGAAGCCATTTATTGGAGATGACACATGGGCATACTGCCTTTATTGTAAGGGGGATTTCTATGCCAAACTGTCATGTTAAAACCCCAAAACATACTCAAAAGGCAAAGACATTTCTGATCTACTGTCGTCTGGATTTAACTCCGGTGGTTTCAAGTTTTGATCCTTGAAGGGTTGGGAACGTTTTTTGCCTACAGCCGCCATTACATGATATGAAAATTAGGCGATGACGTCATTTAGCGACTTCTGGCGACTTTTCGGATAGCCAATAGCTTGGTTTCAGTCACGTGACTTCTATGACGCGCGAAATTCAAGTGGAGGTCAGGAAGTGAAAACGCAATCATTCATCAACGCAGGAATCATGGAGGACACCGACTATGACAAACAATTAAATGAACCTGCACGCCGCAGATATCGTGAAAAAAATCACAGCACACATCGGATACGATCCGTATGAGCTGAAAAAAAAACGACTTTTCTTGTAATTTATCCGATTTGCCCGCTGTCCAGGCGATGGATATCACCAGCTACCTCGTCCTTCATACCTCCTACTACACGGCTAGCCAGATGAAAGCGTATAAAAGCCTGGAAGCTTTCAACTACTTCGTGTGTGGATGGGTGAATGACCTCGGCACCAAAGAGGCATTAAACAAATGTCGCCTTGTTTTTGCCCGGGTGAGTGTTAACTACCTATACCTTCTTACCTCTAAGTAGCATTATTAGGAGACATCTAGCTAGCTAACTTTAGCTACATGGACTCATGTAAGGCAGTGTTACGGCTGTCGCCTTGCCTTCAGCATTAACTGGCCTGTAAGTGTGTTGTGTGTGTATATATGTGTATGTTTGTTATGTGTTTAGCTTAGGATATATTGTGTTTTGTGTGTATAGACAGCTCAGAGCCTTTGAACAGCCTGCACGTTGTTTATATCACTCTATGTTGAGGTTAATATTAAAAACAACCTCTTTACCAAGACCATCTGGTTATGTGTTGCTTGTGATGTTGTTAAATGTATGTTACCAACTCGCAAGTTGTGAACTGGAGCTTCAATTGTGTAGGTCAACCATTCCCAGAGGTCTGGAGAAACACCATTAAAAACGTGGATTGTAGCTAAAGAAGATGGAGAGGTTCTTACAGCACACTGTAACTGCATGGCTGGGTAAGTCATAAAATAAATATCCCAACCCAAAGCATATTTGACACAACACTTAAGCTCAGACAAAATAATGCCTGCTATAATATTCATGTTATACCATTACTAGCTTTTACGATCAATCTAGTTATTCTAGTATGTCTCTGTCTATACAGTTTGTCAGAATCCTGCTCACATGTTGGAGCAGTTCTGTTTGCAATCGAAGCAGGTGTGAAGATGAGAGAGACTGCATCCTGCACCACTGAGAAGTGCAAGTGGCTAATGCCATCACATGTCAAAAAGGTATTCAGACCCCAGTGGTCAGTCAGCTGTTCATGCCCTCCTTGCCTGTCTCATTGTTACACTGCACCTACATGTATGTTCACATACATGTTGGTCTGTCTCTCACATGTGCAGATTCCTGCTGCTCCAGTTGCGATGATAGACTTTTCATCCGCAAAATCCAAAAAGCAAAAACTGGATGATACCATTGCTGGAAGGACAGGTGAGAAGCACACATTTCAGCGTCCCACAGTCCAGGGTTCAAAATTGGAGCGAGGATCAGAGAGGTATATGCAGTTTTTCAAGACTTTGAGCAGAAATTCCCCAAGAAGTGCTGCACTGATGTCCAGGGAACCATATTACAGAGAATTTGTCCCTAAATCTGTGAGCAAGCTACCTAAACCACTACCTCAGTATAGGACACCAGAGATGCTACAGCTATCCCCAACAGAGTTGCAGAATGCATGCCAGCACTTCAGACAGGAAGAGCTGACACAGCCACAGGTCCAGGCAGTAGAGGAGGAGACCAGAAACCAGAGCTTATCAGCAATATGGTTTAGCCAAAGAGCAGGAAGGATCACAGCCTCAAGACTGAAGCAGGTTCTACAGACTAGTCTTGCACAGCCATCAAAGTCCTTGATCAAGTCCATATGCTACCCAGAGGCATACAAGTTCTCTACAGCTGCAACAAGGTATTTATTAGGGATTAGGGAGCCAATCAGAAAAGCAAACTGTATACAGTTTTTCTCAGACGCGGAGGGATACCGACTTGTTGTGAAAAGTAACTTACAATTCTACCCGTGGTATACGCTGATTAGATCACGTATATCAGTAAGTTACAGTACAAGTAACTTATAACTAAATTCATTATCATTACAAAACATGATTCACAAAATATTCAATGCATAAAAATACAGAATAAGTGTGTGTGTGTGTGACTGACAGGTATGGATGCAAATACGAGGCAACTGCCCGAAAGCAGTATGAAGGAGTACAAAGTCTGCACCACCAGGATTTCAGCTGTAAAGACAGCGGGCTTTGGCTGAACCCTCAATGGCCATACATCGGAGCGTCGCCAGACGGAGGTGTCACGTGCACCTGCCATGGAACTGGTATCTGTGAGATAAAGGTAAGTTATTTGTTCAGTATTGTGCTACAGTAAAGCGGGTAAGTATAGGATTATGACGTGATCCTGAGTCTGGGGATCCTCTCCCAATACATTTTGAGCTGCAGACACTTATTTACAGTAGAATATATTACTTTTCTTTTCATTGAACTTTTAGTGCCCACACAGCAAACAAGAGGAGGCCTGTGTGCTGGAGAACAGGGCTTCTGTCTCGTCAACGATGGAGGCACTGTGAAGCTGGACAGGAGACATGCCTACTACCATCAAATACAGGCTCAGCTCCACCTCGTTGATGTTGACTACTGCGACTTTGTTGTCTGGACTAAAAATGACCTCTTTGTAGAGAGAATTGTGCGTGATGTGGACCTGTGGGACAACATCATTCCCAGAGTTGAGCGTTTCTTCAGACTATGTGTTCTCCCTGAAGTGTTGGGACAGCAACTTACAAGGGGAAAGGTAAAAGTCATAAAGAGTTGGTGTGCTCATTTTTTTCCACAAGAACATGTTAGTGCATAACTATCAGGTGACTAAAAGCCTCCTCTCCCTGTCTGCTGTTCCATTTTTCAGTTTCAGTTGCAAGATGATCAGGAGGGAGAGAAGGCGTGATTACCAGCACCTGTGGTCTGTCCTGGTCCCGGAATTTGTGGTTCTCTCCTTGTTGCATTATTATTACGTGCCGTAGTGGGTGCTGGTGTTTGGGTGTGTGTGGGTGTCTTTTTCTCTCTCCCTCTGATCTCCCCAGGTGCTCCCAATCTCCAATCAGCGCCTCCATATAGGACATGAGGAAGGTTGCAGTCGTTCTCCCCTTATCTTAAGCTTTGTTTGACAAGTTGGCTGGTGAGCCCTTTTTCGTTGTGTTAATTAAAAGACCACTTTATGGCGTCAGAGATCAGTTTCCTCTCCTTTTTCTCTCGGCCGGTTATGTTGTGTGTCGCTACTTCCCTTTGTACCCCTATATTTACAAGGGAACGTAACATTTGCACAGTGGCAGCTCTTTAACCTGCATTACAGCACCTTCATATTCACTGACCACACTCACTAGAGGAAGTAGGGCTGTGTGATATATTGCTATTGTAAAAAAGATGTTTACTGAAAAGATTAAATGATACTAAGACTGAATAATACATGGTTTCTTATTTACATTTACAATAACCCTCAATGGCCATACATGGGAGCGTCACCAGACCAATTGTCATCTCTAGAATATTGTTGAATGAATTAAGCCTGAATGTAGATGAAAGTTGTATATTGAGTAGGGCTACACAATTTTCAACACAAAAAGATGTTTACTGAAAAGATTAAATGATACTGAATAATACATGGTTTCTTATTTACAAGACTACAGCTCCATGACTTTACTCCAATGGAACGACAGACACTGACAGATTAGACAAGGCACAGCAAATAACCCCAATCTTGTCAATTAATGCTAGTGCCTCACCTGGTTTTGTTAGCATGTGCTCTATGGCAGTGCTTCTCAAAGTGTGGTCCGCGGACCAGTGGTGGTCCGTGAGCGCCCCCTAGTGGTCCGTGAGTATATTGGTACAATTTCACATTTGAAATAAATAAATTTATTTAAGTTTTTCGCACTCTCGCGGGAATATCTCCGCAATGGAACGAGCTTAAGTTTCACTTTCGATTGCATGATATAGCCCAGATAAGCACCTTCATCACACATGTTGCCACTTGTTTGTACAATTTTCAGGCGATTTGTAAAAAACGATGGATATTTGTGGAGTTAGGTGGTCCGCGAGTGTTTTTTTATTGGTTAAGTGGTCCTTGGTATGAACAAGTTTGAGAAACACTGCTCTATGGGCACAGCCCTGCTTTGCAGAATCTGATATTTTCTTCTGACTAATCCTATGACTCTTTCAACATGAATACGCACATTAGCTATTTTTCTTGTCTCTTCCACCTCGTATGCTGACAGCTGACTTTTCCCCCTGGTGAATGCAGGCATCTTTAGTGAAGCACAGTAAAATCCCACACTATCGGCAATATCGAACCCACGGTCTGCTAGGACAATATCTCCAGGTAACAGGTTTTTTAGGAGCCCACTCTGTATTGTGATCTGTTTATCACTAACTCTTCCTCCCCAGGCACAAGATATGTAGGTAACATAGCCTTGGGGAGCAACACCAATCAGAAATGTAACAGTATGGTGATGCTTGTAGTTGGACCATGTTTGTGCTCTAGCTAGTAAATTAGAGGGCCTCTCAATAAAAACTTCAAAACAGTCAACAATCACAGCAACTCTACATCCAAATGCCTGTCTGAATCCCATTGGCATTGTAGCTTGAAGTACATGTCGCTCTGGCCACTCAATTATAAATTCTGTACTCTCGTGAAGTATGTCAATTAACTTATGCCAAATTCTAGAAGCAGTGGAGAGAGAGATGTTGAACCTGAAAGCCAAATCTTTCAGAGGGAGATTTAGTCTCAGCCTCAGCAAAACTAAAATGAACTGTTCAAATTTGGAGAGCACAGACATAGGGCCACAGGTGATGTAGGGCTCGCACAGTTGAAAAACCTGAAGTAAAACTAAGAAGTTGGGGAGCCCGGTGTAAAACTTTGTTTTCTCTTCGTTGTTCTCAAAGGACTCCTGGTTGAACTTTGTGTCCAGTGCCTTTGTCCGAAGATCTCCCAGCTCTGTTGTGTTCTGTCTCAGAACATCCTCCATCCTCTCTATGTCCTCCATCGTTAAATCAGTCTGGCATCCTGCATCTGCATACAATATAGCAGTAGCAAGCATAATTAGTTATTTAAAATAGTCAAATATGAATGTGAATTTTTGTGAAGTTATCTTTTTGACAACCTTTTTACAGACATGCAAGTTCTCTGTTCCAATTATTGCAGATTCTCAAATTAGTGCTCTATTTTCTAAACCTAATTCAAAGTTTGCATTGATTTTCTGACAATCACATTTGTAATATTTAATAATAATGCTGGTGGTTAATTTACCTTGTTGGTCATTTAATATCCCACTGGTGTCCTCTGGTTGTGGGCTGTCAGACGGGGGCTGCGTCGGTTCTGGGCTCTCGGTTGTCTGCAGGAGATCCAACAAAGCCTCTGCACATTCTGATTGTCTTTGTTGGTCTTCCTTGAGCTCCATCCTCTGCTCTCGTCGAAGAGATGCCTCTGATCTGGGCTTACTTGTTGTGTGGTAACCGAGGCTAACAGTGGGAGCCCAGTCTACCGACTCAACGTCACCCAAAGCGCTAGGGCACCCTAAAAAGTCCCAACAAAGTCCATATTAGACTACAGGTAACTTAAACATGATCAGTATTACTAAGTAAATACGCATTTAACCACAACCCAATAATACCTAAACAAAGCCACAAAAACCAAGTTAGCTAATACCTCTGATGAAGTGGTCGCTGCAGACCCGTGCATTAGACGACTCTGCTCCTCCCGACCGCAGATGTAGGTTTGAAAGCCATTTTTTCCGGCGTTCTTCGGTTAGCTTCTTAAATTGCTCAGCTTTATGGACGACAACCTTCGGCACTCGGTAAAACCTCTTGTTTTTCTCTCGGCCGGATCGATTGGAACAACCGTAAACTACACAACACACCGGCATTTTCACAATGGTAACAGCAGCTAGATCCTCTGTAGAAAATTACTTCCTGACCTCCAATGGAATTTTGCGCCAAAGGAACGCAACGGTGTGACGTCACGTGAAACCAAGCTATAGCTACTTTCCTTACTATGGAGTTGGCAACACTGCTAGTACCCCCCCTAGAGGATGTGAGGTCATCACAAATAAAACAGGTTCACATGGATAGGATACTAGATAAGTGTGCACACTCATTATATACACTACACATTTTTCTTGGATTTGTTAACACTATAGTCCCTAATATATTTGTAGAAAGGCAGGAAATTGAATTAAATTGAGAAAATGTTTCATTGCCCCCTGTTTTGTGTCCCCCCCACTTCTCAAACCAAAGTTACACCCTTACAATGCAAGTACACTATTACTGTAATATTTACATTTACCTATCTTCAAATGGATCCTTGTTGCTGTATTCTTCTTCTTCAGGAGAGTAGAAGCCTCCAGGTTCTGATGCTCCATCTCCACTGCTGCTAGTGTTACAAGTCCGCTGTGCAGAGCTGGTAATCAGATAATAAGCCTGTTGATCAGGAGAAAAGAATGAAGCAGAGGGAAAGTTGCTGCCGTTTGTGTGGTCGTTCTAGCCAGAATGTATTAAACAAATTAATAAATTCACTTACAAATTATATCTGTTTTCTCTATTTATCTAATCATTCTTTGTGTAACCGGTCTGGATTGACGCCACATGTATCTCTGCGTTGTGTCGAATGAAAACGACTTCCTTCTTGTCAACCAGGTTTATTATCTGTGCAAACAGAATATAATGACAGCAGGAAATGGCTTCACCAGCTTTCTACCTCAATACTTCGCCTCAGTGAGGCCTGAAGCTAACTGAGAATGTAAACATACATTTAGCAAATCAAAATAACCGTATGACATATGTGTCTCTAATAAAAAATGGACATAAATCCACATGCCATATTATGACTTTGATGAAGGATTAAAGCCTTTTTCATTTACAGTATATAATACAGTGATAACATAACACACACAACCCGGTCGACTGTACTCACTTTAACATTGCTATGTTGTACAGGCACACTATTAGCATAGTATTAGCGCTTTATCATTTAAATAATATGAACAATTATGACCTCAGACCAGCATTTCACATATTTATACAAACAGAATAAACTTGAAATGTAAGCCAAACTAGTGCAAGGGAGTCATACACATGGTAACATGGTAGAGCCCTACATTATTCAGGGAGCAACAGCCTGCGCTAAAGAAGCTAGCGGACGCCATTAACCACACGCTAGTGGCGTAGCTCACAGAATGACATTAAACTACACATAAAACAGTTTCAAACACACTTCTTTGATCGAAATATGACATAATCTGTGTCCACACTACTAACCTATTGAACAGGAGAAATGAATGAAGCAGATGGGAACGTTGCAGCCATGTGTCTGGTCCATGGACGTATAATCGTTCTTCTTCTTCTTCTCTCGGTTTTTTGGCGGATTGCAAACAACTTTAAGGTGCATACTGCCCCCTACTGTACAAGAGCGTGTATCAACATATCATCCTGTCAGCACTTGTGGAATTATACCACTGTGTTTACGTTGTTTTCAATTCCTCCAATCAATCCTTTTTCACTCAAATACTTAAGAATGGCCTTCCTGGTAGCTCTTACCCCCTCACCTTCTGTTCCCAGTATCCCCATCAGGCTCCACTCTCCCTGTCTCTTAGTTTTTCCCTCTCTGTTTTGTACATGTTGCAGTGTAATATGATATGTTCCACATTTTCTTTAACTCCACAGTTCCTATGACATAGAGTAACATTCAATGCTGTGTGATCCAGTCTGAGTCTAGCTATCATGATTTCCTAGATTAAGTTCTATGAGTAATTATTCTCTGACAGTTGTTGTTGACTGTATACTTTTAAAAATGGATAATGAATCTGTGCATATCACCACCCTATCTGGTCGGACCTCTTCAACCCACTGTAATCCTATTATTACAGCCAGCATTTCTGTTGCACACTGATAATTGATCTGACGCTCTTTTTGAAATTGATATTTTAAAGTCTGGGATATATATACCAACTCCAACACACTCTTCCTTGTTCTTAGAACCATCGGGCGGTGGTGGCGAAGTCCATAGGGACTTGGCTTGGCAACTGGAAGGTTACCAGTTCAAGTCCCGGAAAGACCAAGTGCTACCGAGTTGTCCCTGAGCAAAGCACCGTTCCCTACACTGCTCCCCGGGCGCCGTACATAATGGCAGCCCACTGCTCCTAACACTAGGATGGGTCAAATGCAGAGAAACCGTTTCGTTACACGGTACCTGTACTGTGTAATGACAATAAGTTGAATCTATCTATCTGTGTATATTTTCAGGTAATTGTGATAATGATTGATTAATTGTTGATTGCACCTATACACAACCGTAATGCTTTATATTGTAATCTATCCATTTTTAGTAATGACGTTTTTGCTGCTGCTGCATATATATTATACACCCGTAATCCAGAGTTGTCCTCATAATTGCCCTATAGATGTCAATTAGTGCC